ACGTAAGATGTATCAGTGCAAAACAAGGAAATGTCCTTGGAGAAAACAAGCAAGGGTACACTATAATTATGATCATCTGTGAACAGACTCCGGAAGTTATTTTACAATAAAACAACATTAAAACTAAATAGGCTTGGAATAAATGGCCAAATCAATCCATTTTTATTTGAAACTCCTTACAATACAGGCAAACATGGGCAGACCTAGGAACAGGAGCTATTAGAGAGGTAAGCTAGGAGCATGACTTAAAATTGATATTCTGCATGTATTTGAGTAACAACTGTACACCTAGAACAATGTAGACACAATCAGACTAGCTAGCTAGAGCATGTATAAGAGTTTTGAGGTCATAGAACTGCACCTGTAACAATACAGCTGCTTTGCAGCTGTGGAAAACAACCACTAAATTGTACTTGAATAGAAAATCAGACATAAAAAGGCACAAATTATATGGAGTTGATGAAAACAGAAATCTAGATATTTCACTGCCTTGACAAAGGAATCAAAGTTCAATATTATGGAAATACTCCGATATGCTGCCATCCTCCATGGGATAGTTAGTTTATTAATTTGGCCATGGAATTCCATGAGCCAAAGGCTTTGCAAAGAGACCTGCAGTGTGAAAGCTGCAGCAGGCTCTCTGAGCCCTTCCAACACTAGGGAGAGCACTGGACCCAGGTCTGTAAAATAAAAGCCAGGCACACCTGCCTAGGTCATAGTGTGAGACTGATATTCCCAACTAGCAAATTTAGAAGAGGTAAGGAAAAGGACTAGATTTGGCCACCAAAAGGACCAGCAGAGTACAATTCAAGGGTAGTCTCCTACCAGAGGAGGACACTGCTCCCTTGAATGGAGCTATTCTGTCAAGTTGCTCTATCATCTCCTACTAAAAGAATAGACTGAATCTGAAATGTCACAGCAGAGTGGTTGTGTCCTAGGTGGCAAAATGCCCAAAATGCTCACAGAAAGGAAAGGACAGTAGCTTCTCATAATAAATAAGCCACATTAGAAATACATGGAAACAAGCCTCCCTAAGTAGGGAAGAATTTTTATTCCTGTAAGATGGAAGAACAGAATCCTGGAAAGAAAGAATCTTGTTTTTCACAGAATCAAGTTCCATAAGAACCTGTTTCAAAATCTAAATACAAAGATTAGACTTTAAAGCTCAGGGGTTTTCCAAAGATAACAAGGAATAAATAAGAGGAAATTATGTTTCAGATTTGCAAAGGGAAATTCCATGGGGGAAAAAGATACATTAAGCCAGAAAAAAACCCCCTAACCTATTCACAAATTTTATTGCAAATGCATAACAAAAGAAATGGCACATAAAATGCCTTCATCTGCAGTTATAAAAGAGACCAATTTCCCTGTTGTTTTCTAATATCAGTCTCATTTTTTTAATCAATGCAATGTTCTTCTTAAAATTACTTAACTGGAAATAGATCAACCACAAGTGTATTCACATATATAAATATTCATTTATTCTAATTTCTTCTAATATGACCTACATATTAGAATACAGAAGCAGAATAAGGATAGTACACAGTTCCACAGTTACATGCTTGTCTAGTCTGTGCAATAGTAGTTTATTTGCATTTTATTTTTGTGTTTTAGTGACCTCTGGCGGTTACATTCAAAGGCAAATGATAAACAAAAACTTTTTTAAAAGCCCTAAAACATTAATTTTCAGAAAAAAATAACAAACCAAAAGCTTTTGGCATACAGCACGCAAAAATTTATTCCGGGCTATAATATCAGGATGAGGCTTCTTTTCTTTCCTAAACTTTTTCTGCCTCTTCAGGACTCAATGTTACTGTTATTTAAAAAATTGTTTGAACAACAACAATTTCATGGTGCAGGTTCAACCTCAAAGATAGAGAGCTATCCTTAAAAAGAGACACTAGGGGCTAGAAATAAAGAGCCAGCTTTTAATGTGTAAGGGCAGCAGTGGTAACCTGCACAAGTCTTTAAGGAATGACTAAACATGGCATTTATTATTATGGCCTAATTGACATGTTGGTGTTACGTATGTCATAGGTTGAACTTGTTGACCTCAGAGGTCTTTTCAGCCTGATTGATTCTCTAATTCTGAGTCTGTACAAGGTGCTGTGGTACTTTGAAAATACAGAAGAAATCACAAAGAACTGGATGAGTGCATAAGGAGGTAATGAAAAAACTGCAAAGCGGGCATGACTAAGTGATAAAAACTGGAAAGAAAAGCTGATGTAAATAGCAGGGTACATTACACAAAGGGGGCAAAAATAATTCCAGAATTGCATATTCACAAGCTCTCGACTGACTTTTATACCCAGGAACAAATTTTGGAGCTAAAGTAGATCGCCTCTATTTAACAGGTCAAAAAGAAGCAAGCAGCATTAGAAGTTATAAGGAGTGGAAAAAGAAACAGAAATCAAAAAAAACCTACCAGTAGAGAGACCACTCCTGTAACTGCAGCATTAGATTAGGAGAGGAAAAAAAAACAGAAATCAAAAAAACCCACCAGTAGAGAGACCACTCCTATAACTGCAATCTGTAAGACCTGGAGCACAGAGAGGCATTTTAAATTGTCGTTCTAACTAGCCACAGCTTGATTTTGACCTTACCTAAATTACAGCAGCCACTAATAAACTTCAGCTGGAGCACCAGCTGGCTCATATCAGAGTAGGAGAGGAAAAAAAAACAGAAATCAAAAAAACCCACCAGTAGAGAGACCACTCCTATAACTGCAATCTGTAAGACCTGGAGCACAGAGAGGCATTTTAAATTGTCGTTCTAACTAGCCACAGCTTGATTTTGACCTTACCTAAATTACAGCAGCCACTAATAAACTTCAGCTGGAGCACCAGCTGGCTCATATCAGAGGATAAATTACAGCATTGTATTTTAACATAGTAGATAATGCTGGTTGAAAGGTTTGCTTTGTGAGTTGTTTTTTTAAAGTATGACAGAACATAAAATAGCTGATAGTCCACATGAATGTTGTTCAACAAACTCACAAGCTCATCTGCTTCCTCTGGTGGGAGAGAAGGGTAACACAACTCGATAGATGAGAAATTCCTAAATGACTCCTTCCTACTTTTCTGATAAATGAACTAATAAGTTTTATGTACTACCTATAGTTATTTAATTTTAGATTATATATGCAAAAATAAATGTGAAGATATGAAAATATTAGTATTCTATGCTTTTTCCTCATTCTAATTTTGTGTAAGCACCCTAAAATATTTTTTTCATTCAGAGATATTACCCTGGGAGAAAAAAATTGGAATGAATGTCATTAAATGCCCAGTAGATGCATTTTGAACTCAGGTTTGCTAATTTAAAAAATAAATCCTCATCTTCTCAAGGAATGTATATAAAAATTAATTTTAGTTCACATAAGAATGGGGCCAGAAAGTTAAAATGGAAAATAATTTTCCTTTCTAGTCCTTCAGCTTAAATGACACCGGGATCAGACTTAGTTTGTTTTTTTGAAGTATATGTGTCCTTCAAAAAATGCTAATTTCCATTTGTGAATGATTTTTATGACACATTTTAAAAAATAAAACAATGTTACAGCTCAGTTTAGAACTGCTTCAACCTATTGCTTTTAAATACACAAGGCTGACTAGGGTATGTATTTTCTGTGAAGGAAATTGTGAAGACAGGGAAACTATTGCTGAATGCATTAGTGCTAACCACCTGATCAAACATCTGAAGCCAAAATAGGGAAACTATTGCTGAATGTATTAGTGCTAGCCACCTGATCAAACATCTGAAGCCAAAAGCGACATGGACACCTCAAAATTACTTTTGAGTACTTTCACTGGAGATCCTAGAAGCTAAATATCAGATAAAATCTGCCACATAAAACAGCACTCTTAAACTGTGATCTGGAATTCAACTGACATGCAATTATCAGTTTTGAAAGGCTTTGACCAAACTTCAATGGCTGCAGCTAAAGGCCTCTTGCCCCACTTTGTGCACTAGGTAATAACAGTGCTGGTTTGAGTTAAGCTTTCACTACAGAATTGAAATGTTAGACAACATAGCAAGATAATCATAATCATTCTTGATATTCATTAAGAAGAAAACAGAGGGACCTAAACCAAGAAAAGCTTCCTTAGCTGCATTTGCAATAAAGTCAGGTATTAACCAACCAACAACTGTATGTTCCTACATGCCAGATCTGCCCAGCATGGAGACATATTTACGCCTTGTGTTTTGCAGTTGGTTCTCGCATTCAAACACACATCACATTAAAGTTCTGGCTTCACATGAAATAGAACTAATGTCACATTCACACTTTAAACAGATCTTAAATAGTAGATTCTGTCAAGATTTTGTAATCTGTGTGCATGTGTCACAGAAAAAAAGGGACAGTAAGATCACTTTGTCTCATCAGTCTTCTGTTTAACTCAACTACTGACCACATAAAATGAAAAAAAGAATTAAAAATACTTTGATTCTCCTAAGAAAATTACTTGCCCTTCATTACACACATTCTTCAAGAGCTGTAAGGAATCTCAAATTAGTCCCATCTCAATGAATTTTTTGGAAAAACATATTTCTAAGAAGCAACTGTACTATTTTTATACTAACTCTAGTAGTTACATTTCAGGATAACCAAATACGTCAAGTTTCTTGTTTCTACATGTGCAAGAAGTATGACAGTGATAACACAAGTTTACGAAAAGGAGAGAAAAAGGCTACAGTTTTATCATTGGTGGCTAGTTCTGTCACAGGTTAGTAAGGATCAGAACCCCAACTACATAGAATAAGCTCGTAAATGTATACATTTAATTAATTCATGATATTCCAATTTACACATATGAGAAAAAACAACTACATAGAATAAGCTCATAAATTTATACATTTAATTAATTCATTATATTCCAATTTACACATATGAGAAAAAATAAAACAGGGTTAAACCAAAAAAAGAGCTGTGAAATCCTCTGACATAAATAGTAAAAGCATTAACAAAACTCCTTGTTCAAGAAAAAAAAAGAGAAAGTTACCTCAGAAATAGGTACATTTTCTCCAAGTTCAGATGTGTGTAATGCCAGTAAACCAATCAGTCGAGCAGCTTTGGCACTTCTGCATAGCAAATAAATATTTGGTAGGAGCAGAAAACCTATTTAGAAAATACTATAAAAACCAATTGTGTCTTGTTTCTATTTTACGCTTGTTGCTAAGGGCAGTAAGTATTTGATTTGCTGTTTACAGCTCAGATTTTCTTTTTATTACTACTTTTTTTGTATCAAGAAATCATTTCAGCATTTCAGCTCAGTTTAGCAATAAATTCATGCGTAAAGACATTTCTCTTCTTTAGCACTCGGGAACTAAGATTCTTTAGTTCATTATAGACTTACTAATCAGTCACACTAGTGTTCAGTTTTCATATAATGCAGAAAACCCCTAGAGATAATTTTAGACTTTTCAGTATAGCTGGCAAAACAGAAATTAAATCTGCATCAGCAAATCAGTTTTAAATGTTTCATTAAGGAAAAAAATTGGAATGATAAACAACACGGATGAAACAAACAGCAGAGGGCACTATCACATTGAGATGGTTCTGACACACCTCTTTTAAAAAGCTAAAATTACAGTTATTTTACTCCTATTGTGGTATGGGTTGGTTTATTCAGCGATTTTAAGTAACACTGTTTGGTACACTAAATTATACAACATCTAAGTAAAATTGTAGAGATTTTCTATAATCTTTGGTCCAGTAGAACAGCAATATATTAATTCAATGTAGAAAAAATGGCATCTTATATCCACCATCATACCCCCAGTCAGATACCACAGCAGTCTGACAGGCTAAAACACTCCTCAAATAAATATCTTTAATAAAATTCACTGGCAATTCTGTATTTTGACATATTAATTTTAAATAATCATTACTTACATATCCCAGTTGGAGGCTGCACGCAGCTGCTGGATCAATGCAGGAAACTATAGTTTAAAGAAGATAAATAAGCATTAGTGAATTTCAGTGATCTGATACTTCCCAATGATAAACAAAAAGATCAAAGTATCAGTAATTTCATAAAAATGTATTTGGAGAGCATTTGCAAAGAGTACAGACAAGTACTGTGGATATTGTTCAAATGCTGATTAAAGAAACAAAAATTTAAAAGGTTGAGAGGAAAAATACAATTTTTTTCTATAGTCTTGCCATAAACTAAACTGCTAAGCACAGATCAGCATGTCAAAAAAAAAGGAAACATTTTCTCATTTTCATTCTGAATAACACTCTGCAGAGAAAAAAGTCTGATACTTTCACCTACAAACACAGAGATCATCATATAGCACTACAAAATAAATATTTAATAAACTGAATCTATTTTGTGAGAATGGATAAACATAGTTGGCAAATACTAGAATGATGAATGTCAACAGGTATAATCAGCCACTTAACAACAAAGCTGCACAATTACTAACTCATTTCTAAAATGTTCTGTTAATTGGCAACTGAGTTATTGGATTATTGTGTGTCCCCCCACCAAATTCTGCAGTGATAACAGAGTACACCCTTCTGCAATTCTGTTTCCTGTTTCCACAAGAATTCTATGGGATAAAACCTACCACTACTTCAAGCCTAAATGCTCTTCATTGAATATTTTTGGCAGTGCAATTTTGTCTTTAAGACCTCAATATCCAACAATGACATGTCAACTTATGACTTAGGTGCATTAGTATAAATGCAGGAGAGGAAAGTAGTTTACTTTTTATTAAATAAATGAAAAGTGCTTATCTCAGAATAGCCTCTGTGATACGTTTGCATAATGGAAAAAAAAAGTCTACTTTTCTTCTGCACATGCTAGACTTTGAGAAATATGTTAAACGACTACAGAGAATACTAGTAAAATTGTTTGCCTGGTAGAAAATGGTTCTTAAAAGGCAAAATCAACATTACCCTAAACCAGACTCTTCAGAGAGCACTCACTCTTTGCAGCACTGCTTACTGAGAGTTTTACTACCTGCTTTTCTTGCTATTCTTTACAGACATATAGCCAAATGAAATTTATTTGGCAATTCATGAATGAACTTTTTTCAGTCTTCTCTGTCACTTAATGATTTACAAAGAGTAATATTTCACACTCTCCATCAAGGTTAGTTTTCACCCCAACCTTCTCAGTAATACAACAAAACTATATATAAATATATCTGAAATCTAAGAGAAAGAATTAGTTTCCCTCACCTCTTTAAAAAAAAAACCTGACATGGAATTTAGCAACTTTTTTTCATTATTTTGCACCTAATTTGACATAATGCTTTTGTCAGTACACCAAGGATTTCTTCAAATACAACTAAAAGCTGATTTTTGCTACAATGGCAAGTACATAAACCATGTTGAATTGCTTCAAAGCTTTCTTATTTACCAGTTGAGAGCTAATTAGCCTGCTTGCAATCTCCTTGTGGACAGCCACAGTACACAGATAATACAGTAAGTTCAGTTTAGAACGTGCTGCTCCTGCATTCTTGTCAGTGGAATCAAGCAGTGAACATACTCGTTTCAGAAAGTTATCCCAGTCCATGTCTTCCATAGATGATAGCTTCTCAGCTAAGCATAAGAAGCAGGCAAGTAGTTAAAGATTATGGATCTTTGACATTACTTTAACGGGCTAGAAAGCAACATCAACACCAATCAGTAAGTTTCAAAGTTTGAATCGAATTATAATTTTAGCACTTAAAATATTAAAGCAGCATGTTACAGTTCATGTCACGTTATAGAAATCAAAGACGAAGCAGGAAGAGAAACAAAGGATAAAAATGTAGCAATAGAAGCCTCAGAACACTTTTGAAAGTACAACACTACTGGGTCATTGAGCTTCATTTAAAGAAACATTTATTGGCATCATACTTAGGAATGGTAGTAGCTGTTCATCATCATTACTAATTCTTAATAAGAAAGTGCAATTTCCTTAGAGTAAATTTGAAGCAGTGAAATCTCCTCAGAATCAATAAACTCAAAACATATGTTGTTACTCATATAGGAAGGCATCCGTCTAGTTAAGCTTAAGTAGTATCAGAACACAGAGGACTTCAGAAGGAGCACAAAGAAATCAAGTCATTAGGATAACTAACACAAATCCTGTGATTCAATTCATTGACCACTGTACATGAATTGAGATTTTTCACAGACTTCCTTATCAGTCTCAACAGTTAACTTCAATCTAGCAGCCATACATTCCCTCAGTTTTGGTTAGTTATTTATTAATAACTGATCTGCCATCCTGATGTGCCCCAGTATAGAATATTTAAAAGCATGTTTGCTGTCTTTGATGCCAATTTTATACTTAAGTAACAACACCTACTAATGCAGGCATTTATAATGTGCATTAGCAAATGTGAAAAGAGGTTTGCATTTCAGGCATTTATCTAAATTTTCCATACTTTAACCATTACTGATGAGCAGCATCGAATTCAGTATCTTCAAAAACTATCAGAAAGTTGTCCGGAGAAAAAGCTACAACTCTGAAAGTGTTATAACAACAAAAAACACTATCCCATATTAAATAAACACTGATGGCGATAGTTAAACATATCAGAATTATCAGTGTGATAACTACTTAAACGCAGTATGAAATATAATATATGAAATATAATAGTTACTATGTAACTATTAGGACTTGTAAAGTCTACTCAAAATTGGCCTAGCTAAAAACATTACATATACTTCAGCTGTGACAGCTCATAATCTACAATGGGAGACTCCAGGTCCTGTGAGTTACAGCACCACATGCAGATCTTCACCTTTAGCAGAGCCATACCCGAATGTGCTGGTATATGCAAAGTTTTCAAGTCAAATCTAACTGGTAATTGCTTCATTATCTGGAAAAATAAGTGAACATATTACATACACTTCTGGAAATCTCTAAGTACTTGAATACTGAGAACAAAAAGAGGCAAAATTTGTACAGGATGGGTGTACAAACTATTGCTCATTACTGAGGAATTTTCCATTGTTTTCTGGTATGTATTTCTTCCAAGCAAATCCATGAGATTTAACTCCATGTTTTTAATATAATTATATTCCTAATATTTCCATTTAAGTGATTTTTAATGGGATTACAAAATGATAGGATTTCTTTAGTTTACAGTTGTATCTTGCTTGTGTGCAGAAAAATACTTACATTTGGGTCTCAATTAATTTCCATACAGTAAATATATAAATATATACGCTACATCATTCTAGAAAATAAGAAGTCATATCACCAACAACTAGCCATTTATAAGGTATGGGGACTTTTTCCCCTCACAACACCTCATTTTCTGGTACATCATGAAATTGGATGACTGCTCAGTGGCTGAGCATTTGAGTGTGATTTTCAGTAAATAAAGCACACAATAAATGTAACTGTGTAGTGCAACTTAGCCTTTGACAGATGAAGTCTAAGTGTAACTAGAGAGCCATTCTCTAAAAAAGGTCTTCAATTCCACAGATCTGCAGAACACAGGGAAATTTTACAATATAAGCTGACATTTCTGCTTTCAAGATTCTGCCAGCATCTAGTAAATCCTTTTTAGGAGATTAAATTGCAAGCTCTTCAGCTTTACCAGGTGTCAGTATCATCCTCTAGACTGAAGATCACCAAGAAGGCAATGACTCTGATTACATGTCCCTGGAACTTAGTGGGCTAGTTTGCATTAATTCTGAGTCTGGCATTGCATGCTAAGGAGATTAGTCTCCGTGTGCCCATCAGCATGTACATTTACCCCTAATCTCATCTCTTATACTTGTAGTAAGAAAAGCAGTGAAGGGCTAAGGCTTTGTGTCAGAGTCCTGAGACAGAACTGAGAATTTAACAGTGGCAGCATTCAAATGCGTAATTACCTTTAAAATTCTCCACTGGCAATCATGTCCCCCACCCCAAACATTTTAAAACAGTATTATTGAGTAGTTGTTGGGAAAGGCGAAGGTTCCGCGCGGGGAAGCAAGCGGCCGACTCCGTGTGGGTGATACAGCAAGCTCCATCTTTATTGTCCGACAGGCTCTTTTTTATACAGTGCAGAAGCAGGCATACAATTATCCATCACTTTTAATTGGCTAGGCTCTAAAGATAGCATTCAGGTACTCCCCTCACTCACAGCTGCAGCTGTGAGGCTTATCTCCTGCTTTCCCAGGCTTGGGTGCATTCCTAGCTGTTTGTCTCGAACCTGTTTGTTTCACCCTCAAGGATGAGTTACCCCTGCCATCTGCCATCTGCCCAGCTGAGTTACTCCCTATCTCTATATAAGTTGCTATCTCCAGAGCCTTGCTTGTACACACTGCATTCCCAGGTGCGTTCCCAGGACTGTGTCTGTACTTGCCCAGGGGACTGCAGCCTAGCTCTTTTGGGCCTTCCCCAGGATTATATCCCTGCTCTCTTAGCCATTCTCCAACAAGTAGTTACTGTATCTAGCTGTATAAGAGTTTTAATTTTTGAAAGCGCTAGGAATTCCATTAAAACAAGCCAAAGGAATTGTTAATACTAAAGCAAAACAGCAACTGAAAGCTCTAAGACATTCTAAGTGAGCTTAGATGCTCACTTCCAATGAAAAATGTGGCATTCCCTGCATTCTCCACTTACTGAGTAAAGTGGCTAAAATGGATTCATTTTTTCTGGCACAGAAATAAAAGAAAGACTAAAGGGGCTCTTGCCTGTCATTCTGTCTACTAATAACATACATTACACTGTCATAGTAGCGCAGAGCTCTGATTCTTTTTTTGTTTACTCTTTGCTGCCAAGCAAGTATCAGTCCCTGCTCAAGAGACTCATTACAAACTGTTGCCACATTAGAATCTGCATCACAGAAACAGGATGGGTATTTCTTATAACTTCAGGTATTCTTTTTGAGAGAAGATAAGTTCATATTCAATAGAAACAATATCACATCTGAAGTTTAAAGAGTAACAAAAGTTACCCTGTGAAGGTCTAACTCCTAATCTAGAAGGCTTTGTAGATGGCCTTGCTTTGAGTGTACCAAACCAGAGTTTTGTGCTCATTTAAGTAACCAATATTAAAGCAAGTTATCAGAAAGCAAATCTACAAAAGCACAGAACACAGCATTTAGTAGCTTCTATTTCTTGTAAGACATGGTTTAATATTATTATTCAATCCTAAAATAACTCATTTCTCCAAATTAGCAACAATAGGTTTATAGAGACTGCCAAAAAATTGCATGAGAGCTTGCCAGATGACTGGGTGGAACTGATTTAAAATAAGGAGTATAAAACACAGGAAAGGAGTTTCACCCTGGTAAAAAAATTTATCTGCAAAAATAGCCTCAACCACAAGTTCCTGAATCTTATATTTTATTTTGCTATACCTTTGGATAGTCAATGATTGGTGTTTTGACAAGATCAGAATTAGTGTAAATGAGCTCTTTCAATGCTGACACAATATCCTGCTGACTTGCGCACGTATTTTCAGCCTAGAACAAGAACAAAGGGTTTTTTTAAACTGCTTTGCAGGGAGAAAGTGTTACTTCATGTCTATTCCAAAAACACTTCATTTCAACATTATACCACACAGTTTTGGCCATGTAAACAACATATTATCACAGAATCATATAATTTTAGGGGTTGGAATGGACCTTACAGATCATCTAGTCCCAACCCCCCTGTGCCATGGGCAGGGACATCTCCTCACCAGATCAAGTTGCTCAAGGCTTCATCCAACCTGGCCTTGAACACCAGCAGGGTCAGGGCAGCCACCACAGCCCTGGGCAACCTGTGCCAGTGCCTCACCACCCTCACAGGAAAAACATTTTCTCTAATATTTAACCTAAACTTCCCCTCCTTCAATTTGAACCCATTACCCCTTGTCCTATCATTGCAGTTCCTAATAAAGAGTTCCTCTCCAGCTCCCTTGTAGGCTCCTTATTCTAACTTATTCTATATTCTAACTTACCTTTAATTTATGTAATAGTAGATAGGACCAGCTAAAAATTATGATAAATGTATTGCAAGAAAAAGCAATGGCTCCAAAACATAGATGGAGAAGAAATAACATTATCCCTTTTATGTACTGGAGCAAAAGAGGGAATTAAGCATCTTTCTTAACTTCTCCATCTGAAGTTCTGCAAATACTTTATTCAGATAACTTGCACACTTTAGGAACTGCTTTTCCATTAGTTATGGATGGAGAAGAAAGTTGACTTTGCCACAGACTCAAGCTAAAGTTCTAACTATAAAGACACCATCGTCCCTCAATATAAATTTTCTACTCACCTCCAAGCAAGAATCTCATTGTGGATAATTTTTGATTGGGGCAGTAGTAGCAGCACTTACTTCGACTGCAGTGCTAGTTCTAGGTGTGGGACGACAACTTAAACAAAAGAAAGAAAAAATAATAAAACCCCAACAAAAACTACAGATTAAGTTTCATTGCAAAGTGCTTCATTGTTGCTCTTTTGAAATTTTTATGCCATACAATAAACTTCCAAAGCTAATGAACAAAAATCACACTCTGCCTGACCCATCAACTAAACATGAATTTTCTGTCTTCAAATGTGTTCTGACAAGGTTAGGATTTGTTTGTCAGTTAGAAATGGGAAGGTGGTATTTAGTCATCGTTGTTATTAAATAAATGTAGTTGCTAAATTAATGTAGTCTGATTATTTTCTTAGCCATCATCACTCTCCAGACTGGATGCTAAAACATAATTAACTGAATTCCTAATCATAAACATTATACAAAGAAAATTAACTTGACAAAAATTTGCAATTTATTTTGTTATTCTCTTCTGACTGCCAATTCTTGCCTAAGTAATGAGAATTAAAAACTGCCTAATTCTCAGGTATGATTGTGAACTGGGTTTACCTTTTCCCTTTTCCTTTTAAAATCCTGCCTGGTAATTAGAAAATGAAGAAAGAAGAGACTAGAATACTACAAAGGTGCATTTCTCATAAAGCTACTAGTGGACTCGGGTTTTATAGTACACATTAATTTAAACGAAAGCATTTAAAATCCAGTCTAGAATTATTGAAATTGGCAGGCCAGGAAACTAGTGAAATCAACAGCTTCAAATGAACATGTTTTCTTGATTAGCAGAAGGTAATAAACGTATTTAGTTGCAAATCTTGATTAGTGGAAAGTAATAGACACAGTTGCAGATCAGCATTATTTATTGGAAAAAGCAACTAAATTAAAAATACAAGCACCAAACAAAATTAAAGATACTTGTGAAAATCAGTGATCAAATGACTAACAAATTGTTCTCATCTTTCACCTATTGTCAACAGAAATTTAGAGGGCAGAGTGAAGGAATGCCAAAAAACTACATAAATACCCTAATTCTTATGGTAAAAAAAAAAAAAAAAGAATATCAAGATCTACTTGGAAGTTTAAGCAGCCTTAGTTCCCAAATAAAAAAAGCCCTATGATTTCTAGCTAGGAGGCTGGACAAATTCTTCTAGGTTCCCACATGCTTCAAAAACATGTAGATTTGTTAAATACACTTTTTTCAACTCATTCAACTGATTTGCTTTCATATATGTTTGAGATACAGAATGTATTTCCTATTTTTCCAGTTCTTAGGTGGTTTCTCAGTTTAAAACAAGAGAAATGATTCTTGAATTGAACTAGTTGAAATGAATAAGATCTGTTCCATTTGCACAAGTAGAAGAAGCTGCTGCTCTTAAAAGCTGATTAACCCCTCCATCAGCTAAGTAAATTCTGATGCCAAGTGCCAGGTCAGCAGCTTTCTTTAACTTCAATGTTTTGCTACTTTAGTAGAGAACACATGCAGCTTTCAGAAGTGAAATCATTGAAGCAAAGAGAATTTCTGTAGAACAGATTTTATTTTTTAAATAGTATTACATTTCAAATCTTGTATTCAAACTTAGTGTACTTATCATAAATAAAGTATGTTGTTAAAAAAACATAATTTGGATTACATGTTGTGACACTGTTTCTAATGTCATTGTAGCCTTTCTTTCCAGCAGATTGCTAAAGCAAATGCGACTTGAAATTACTAATACTATGGGTTTAGCTGTGGTGATAGAAATTGTGAGATGAGAAGTAATACTTGATTAAAACCAACTGAAATAACTTGAAAGGTCTATGATGTACAAAAGCCCTATTTCAGGTCATGCAAGAAGCACGAAACAGTATTTTCAAACTGGAATATTTCTGCTTGATGATGATAAGAATAGTATCTACTGCACTAGATATTCTTCTTGGCTTGAGAGCTAGTACAAAGTTTCAGAATCAGGCCTTGACTAAAACAAGTCACTGTTAAACCAATTGCTATTGTTTTATTTAATAACCATATAGTACTTACTAGATTGTCACCAACAGCTTGTGATGAAAAGCTGCAGGCAGAACTTACTAGTGGATCTTATGCTGAATGCTTAGTCTTGTGTATTTAGAGTAAGCATATTCAGAGCCTATTCGCATATATATGAAGTAAGAAGGAAAGAAAGATCTAAATAAATTCTTCTGTTTAGACAGACAGCTATGAAATCAAAAGTTTACTTTCAAAAACAAGCGCAATAAGCCAAATAAGCTTTAACCACACACACTGCTTTCACAGCTCTTCCAATGCATTTTAATATTAATTAAACTGGGAATAGAAAATTTGAATGGAGACACGCACACACTGTCACAGACAGAATAATCACATCTGAAGAGACAGTGAGAAAAAACCCAACACCAAACATACAGAATTTCAACGGATTTTATAATTGTTCTTTAGGTTTTCATACCTGAGAACAAACATGGAATCATTTGATTCACCATCAACTGCACTTTTGGGGCGCAATTCAGTCTGAGTTTCTACAAAAAGAGAACATGAACTTGCATTTTAGAGCTTAAAATCAAATAAAGCATAGTGAATAAGCAAGTTGTTAGGATTGACAAAGTAAGTAGGAAATGAACACTTACCTATTTTGAAAGAACTGCTTGGTAGTCTAGAGGATGACAGGTTATTCAGATTTTCGTAAGTATGCACTGGCTCTTTAGCACTCCAAGACACTGATGACTCTGAGTCTTCACTGCTGTTTAATAAAAGATATTAATTACAGGTTAAAAAAAAAAGAGGGATCATACCCATTATTTGTTGCAATTAGCATACAATTTGGCAGTTATTCTATGGTAGTATGCATTGAACACAGTTTTCTATTAGTTATGGCAATGATGAAAAATATGTTTACAGCAAATGACTTGCAGATTACTAAAAATTCTCTCTCATTAGAACTAACATGAGAGACATTAGAAAAGTTAAATTATTACCCCATAATATAAAAGCTATAAAGAAATATTAAAAGCATGACAGATCATTCAGTCTTCACAGGAAAAAGTCACAACAAACCTATCTCTAATAATGAAGTGTGTAGCCTAGATTAAAACTATGTTGGTTTTTTGTGTGTGTGTGTATGTGTAATGATTTACATGTCAGACTTAATTGCAGGTTTATTGATTTTGCTTGTTTCGGGTTTTTTTAACATGCCTCTCTATTATTCACATGGAACTGGGTCATATAACCTTCCTGAAGGCTCTCCAGGATATCAAATATTAATCAAACCCACTTTGTGATGAAAATAGATACATGGGTCTCACAGCTGCAAAAGAAAAAGTATTGAGCTTCTTTTGCATGTCAAGCCAATGTTCTACATGTTTTATATTTGTCAACTAGTGTATACCTCAATGGATATTCCAACCCTCAAAACTAAGGTCATTTGACCTTAGTCAAATTAGCCCAATATTTCGTAGGGGGTTAAGATTCTTCTGATTCTCTGAAAATTCCTCAAAATTACCATTGAGATAGAGGTTAACGTAAGTCTTGTTAAAACCTTGAATAAATTCTTACATTGTGGTATAAACATTAAATATTAATTTCTTATCTGCTTTGCAGGTGAAAGTAGTAATAAAATTAGAAGACAAAGAGCTGTATCTCAAACTAGAATAAATGATTAGAACGAAGTATTGCAGCACTGGTATCAGAAATAGGTATTAAACAACACAAGAGAAAATTCTAAAGTAGATACAAAAACATTCAGCATTCTAAAAGAAAACTATTTTCACATTCTCTACGTTGAAACCAGAAGTATCTTTCAAATATTTAGAACAACGTAACACAAAAATCAATGCTAAATCTCCTAATTCAAAATTCAAACTAACAAAACAACCTCAGCAAGATAACAGGAGTTTTGAAGAAGTCTAACTTTTTAATACATAGAACCCATTTTTGCAAAAGGTTTGGAGGTTTCTGCATGTACAGCAGCAGAGAGTATTACAAATCTAGAAAAAAAACCCCCACCAACTATTGGATTAATGCTTTATGTCACAAGCAAAGAATATGGGTCAGCTGCATTTGCAAGATTATAAGGCTGAACCACAGCTCTAAGATGCTGTACTGACAGGCTTTGTGATGCTCTAAGCCTAATGCATAACAACAAACAAACAAATCTCACTGGAGAGAAAACTGACCCACATTTAAAAGATTCTAGAAAAGCTTTCAAAAAAGAATACTAAGTCAAATTATGTGCAACAATGTTATATAATATATAAACAAATAAATGAAGATGAGAGCAGTTAGTTTAGAAGCGAATTTTATCACACTGTATAGCCAGGAGGAAGGAGTCTGTTGAAAGTGAATGACCAGTGTAACACACTAACAGGATAATACAATTTTAAGTATCCAAAACTGTCCACTAAATGGTGCAAAACTCCATTTATTAATTAGTTAACACAAAAATTCCAGGCAAAATTCAAAAAATGGTAAATTTACAGACAAACATAATAGAATAATCCTTTTTTTGTTTTTAATTATAAAAGAAGTCTTTCTTGAACATTTGGTACCCTGAGTTTGTGCGCTGTCTGTCTGCAGCATCACCACAATTACTAAGGGATCCTTTCCAGAATGGATGCTGCAAGAGGTCTGTCCAACTCAGCCTTTTGAAAAGAAACAAAAAACTGAAAAAGCCATGGCAAAGTACAGTTCCACAGAAACAGACAAGACTAGGTTATGAACCCAGTGACACTACAGAACAATTAATCCTGTTATTTGCTTTCATTTGGACAACAAGTAAGTTTTCTGACAGGACTAACTTTTTGCCTCAAAGCAGAATGGATAATTCACACAGCACAGAGGTATGAGAATGAGAATTAATTATAATCTTAAATTATTTAACAATGTAACTCTATCAGCTATAAATCAAAGCCTTATCAAATAGATGTGCTCATCTATTTTATGATGGGCATTTGCAAAAGCAAAGCCACCCAATTCTAAACTGCCCATATTTTCTGTTACAAAGTTACCTATGTAGCACCAGCTACAAAAATATACATACAAATATATATACAAAGATATACCTAATGAAAACATTAATTCTGTACATATTCATATAAGAAAAAACAGTTTGCCCTTTTATATGAGGGATGAAATTTTTTTTGCATTGTCATCTACAAAATACTATACATACAGTATCATTGTAATTATTTTCTCCAGTGGTGATGACATAAACAACTCTCATGGATTAGACAGCTTACCTTTTCTGAGGATCCTTCTGAAGTAACCCATCAAGCAAACTGATGAACTCAGCAGAAGGTTTGTGACAAGCAGAACCTGTAAATAGAAGCACTTGCAAAGATCAGTATTGGGCAGCAAAAACAACCACCCAATGTAGACCAAAGTATTATATATAGATCATCCTAAAAAATGTTCTTAAGAGTAATTTAATCTGAAAAAGAAGTCAATGTATAAAGATTCTTAAATATACACTCTTTGCATTTCAAAGAATCCTCAAAAATAAGCCCAGTCAAAACAAACCACCAATTCTTGGTCATCAAACTAATTAAAATTCTTTATAACTTATTAAAAAAGCACCCTTCAATTATCATACAGCCATTAGAAAGAAATAAAGTGGAGTTAAAATCTACTTAAGTTAAAAATAAGTTTTCCCCAACCATAATAATTTTAAGAGAACCATTGTTACATCTATTATAGAAAAGAGGTTTCCAAAAATTCTTATTTAACTGAGAAAGACTCCACTTCTGAAAGTGCAGAACTTCGAAAGCCATTTCATCCACTTTAAAACAAAATCTTTCTTAGAATGGAAACAAATAGCAACAGTTCTAATCCTGCAGGTCACTGTTTGCATTACATTACTAGTAACTGAAAAGAGCCACTGATACTCTCCTGACTAACACTGGTGTCCAGAGTGACTGATAGAAAAATTCTATCCCAGTAGGTAGATTTAGTGTTAACAATTAAAAGTAAGTCATATATCTATCTGTCAAAAGGAAAACAAACATTCGCCATTAACAGGGAAAAAGATCTTATCAAAGTAAGGCATTGGTAACATTCCTTTTGCACAACTAACTGATTCCTGAAATCAGCCTCAGAAGAAATAGTGCAAAACAAAACTTAAACATTGTAAGTATTATTCTGATTTGATTCATTAAAAAATAGTAGAATCTTACCTGCTGGTCTAGGTGGCAATGGATCTTCACATAAAATTTTAGCAACTAATTCAAAAACGTTTTCTGAGAAGAATGGTGGTTTTCCTACAAACAAACAGAAGTGTCTTTCACAGATTAGGCAAAATTCAAAATGGATGTCATGTGCAAAGATATATCACAAGCTCATTTTCCTAAGAAAATATCCCAAGAAACAAACACCCTTGGCCTGAATGCTATTTATCAAGCTCTCTTGTCAATTTAAATTCAAAACCTTGGATAAAATCTTCTACCATGAACAGCAAAACAGACCATGGACAGAAGAGACATCAAAGATGGCTTGATGGAGGTCACCATGGTATCTCTGTATGAATCAGCAAAGACAACAGGAGGCCTAGGCAGAAATCTCAGTATCTGTGTTACTGTGTTGATCCAACAGATCAGCGTATTGTTTCAGATTTAAGAGGGTTGCAATGTGATTCCCTTTTGTGATGAAGCTTTTCTTCCAGCTGCAGCTAATGAGTACTTTATCTGCAGGAAACCAAATTACTCTAGCTTTGTAATAGTGAAACAGTTTCCTCTTTCAAAGGTCAAAATAATGCACCCAGGGTTTAATACTGAGATTAAAAACATTACACTGCCAGAACTCAAGGACTGCTATAGTCTTCATAGTATGTTAAGCAGTTAGAATGGACCTCAGAGAACATCTAGTCCCAGCACCCCCTGCCCTGCGCAGGGACACCTCCCACTAGACCAGGTTGCTCAAGACTTTATCCAAACTGGTTTTCTCAGATCAGGTTGGACCTTTATCCACCCTGATTTTAAATCATAGTATTTAAACAATGTAAGTTGGTCAGTATCGTTGCATTTAGATCACAGTCAGTAGGACAATTTAACAGTATTACTTCACTTGCTTATTTGATGAAGACACTTTTTTTCTTTGAAGTAGTTAGCACATTCTTCAAGAAATCTTTAAAACCTGTCTTAAGTTTTTCTATGTCTTAACTTCCCTAGAAAGTTAAGAATTTACTCTTGGACCACAACCCATGTTTCCATTATCACAGATAGTCAATAGACACAGTTCCAACCTGAGAACATTTCATAGAGTAAACATCCCAAGGACCACAGGTCACTGGCTTTGCAGAACTCCTCTCCCTTTATTGCTTCTGGAGCTGTGTATAATGGAGAGCCTAAAAAATACAGTATGTCATTCAGCATTTGTCCTGTTCAATACATCAAACCATGTCTCCAGACTTCAGTCAGTTAGGAATTATCTTCACTTACTGTAATGAAACTGAAATACCAAATGTAAGCAATTCTAAAGGAACTTCTCTCCTGTATGTTTACTGAATTATGTGGTTATTTCACTTCTATTAACCAAGCTGACTTGTGCCACACTTTTTGAATAATGGTTAATGCAAAGAATGTTCTGATATGCCTTAACAGCTTTCAGAGCCAAGGAGATTGAGCAAAATGGTAAACCAACATCACTCCCATGTGCGGAATTGAACCAAACTAATTCAGGTCTGGGATTATTTTTTTTAAAGCCATCCCAAGACATACACCTTTGTGAAGTTACAAAGCTCTGTTACAGAAAACCAGGTAGGCAGCCAACTAGAACACTGATCTAAACAGTTATAGCTATTTCCACAGTAAAACATTATGAAAACACCATATCAAATTACAGCATCTTATTCACAAACCCCTTTTGTCTTGACACAGGAAAAAAAAGATACAGTTCCTATTTCTACAGTAGCTCCCATCAGTTCTCAAAAATCTCTAAAAAAATGACACAACTCAGTAAAAGTGTCAATTCCATGGTCCTTTAAAAAGTTTATTTTGGATTCTTTTGTTCTTGGATTTAATTTTTTTAAGTGACCAAAGGTCATTACCATACATATCAAACAGCCGTTCTGAAAAGCAACAGGAAAGAGATTAGATTTGTATTTCTTCCTGAATAAAGGTCTGCTCTTGGTCTTACACTTTCCAATGTGGAATTTCAGAAAGAGACAGCAAGGTATTAAGAGAGCTCTCTTGGTTCTCATAAAATATTACAAAGAATTCCATTGTTTTCTGTAACAGTAACTGATATGACACATCATAGTCTTGGAAACAGAGGTCTGTGAGATGCTCCAAGACAATGACTTATACAAGATTCAGAAGGCTAAAATCAAGTTTCTGAATTTTTCTTATTCAATGAAAAAATAACATAGTATTTCAGAGAATCATAGAATTTTAGGGGATGGAATGGACCTTACAGATCACCTAGTCCAAACCTCCCTTGCCATGGGCAGGGACACTTCCTCACTAGATGAAGATGCTCAAGGCCTCATCCAGCCTGGCTTTGAACACTGCCAGGGTTGGAACATCCACACCCTCCCTGGGCAACCTGTCCCAGTGGCTCACTATCCTCGCAGGAAAAAACATTTTCCTAATCTCTAACCTGAACTTCCCCTCCTTCAATTTGAAGCCATTCCCCCTTGTCCTACCACTGCAATTCCTAACAAAGAGTCCCTCTCCAGCTCCTTTGTAGGCCCCAAAAAAATGATAAACAACTATTTTATTTCAAGGACTTAATTTGAAATTACTTCAAACTAAGTGCTCACTATCCTCGCAGGAAAAAACATTTTCCTAATCTCTAACCTGAACTTCCCCTCCTTCAATTTGAAGCCATTCCCCCTTGTCCTACCACTGCAATTCCTAACAAAGAGTCCCTCTCCAGCTCCTTTGTAGGCCCCAAAAAAATGATAAACAACTATTTTATTTCAAGGACTTAATTTGAAATTACTTCAAACTAAGTTCTATGCCAACTTTCATTCTGTCCCTTTGGTGTAAGTTAACTTTGGCTAGTAAAAATATCGTACCTCGAAATCTGGTTTTCAGATGTCTTTGTGGAGGGCTTTCACTAACATCTTCACCTTCTTCATTTTCAACTGAAGCAAAAAATTCTTCCAAGTTTTCACCATCCCTTTTAGCCAAGCAAAAACTACTGAATTTCAAAGTGCCAGACCGTTCCAGCAGAATCTAGAAGAATAAACAAAATCCAACACACAGTATCATATACTAAAACTGACCACTGCTGAAATTTCCAACACAAAGTATAAAATAATTTATTATTTTAAAAAATCACAGTCTCAAACCATTTAAGTACATGGTCATGATCACCATAACCAAAAACACTGAAAAGGGGTTTTTTAAGTCAATGCCAGTACTGTCTGTTTTCTTACAACCAAAAGTATCACAATAGAACCCTTAAGAGGTTTAATGTGCCCTTTTATTTACTTGTTATTAAATCTCAATAAACAATTATGTTATTAGAGAAAATAAGTAAAAGTAGTGTATACAGTAAAACTGTATAGGAAAAGACAAGTGTAGTCAAAACAAACATGGCTTCAAATGAGGAAAAACCCCGGAATTTTTCGAATTTTATTTAGCAGAAGATTCCACAGATTTTGTCCAATGATGAGAGTTTTCTCTTAGCAGCCACTGTTTATTCTCATCATTAAAAGTTTCATAATCCCCAAAATGTTACTTGGAGAAATAGCCCATTTAGTCAAAATCAGGGGATGGGCGGGGAAGCAGCCTTAACTTCACACTTTTCTTTCTGTTCAAAGGAGTACTTGACAGCAACATTCTTCTTTGAAAGACTACAGAGTCATCTTCATCATGCTTTATTCATATTTTTTTAGTGCTTTTGGACCCACAAATGACAGAAACGGAATATACCTGTGCAAGATTTTAGAGAAGATTCAGAAGGGCAACTTGATCACTTACACATCAAGATCAAAATCAATTAGTGTTATCAAGAATTTTTGGCTATAGTCATATTCTGGTGACTACATGAATTGGAAACAAACAGTATTGGCAAACCTATGCATAAATTACATACACATACACAAAATGAGAAACTCCATAAAGATGTGTATTTTTATGCAAGAGTAAGATGACAATTTGCATGGACTCTGAAAACAACAGAGATGGTTATTTACAAAGAAAGTTTAGTTAACTTTACTGCATCATTACCGTTTTCTATGACTATAAAATATTCTGCAGCATGATAGAACAATAATAAATTTATACATCCAAGGACAGAGAACTAGAATCTTTCATTAAAACAAACCAGTACATCAAATCAAAAAGAATCTATCACATTGTATCAGATATACAACAGGGAAAGAAATCAATTAGATTATAAAATGTTCAAGCTATGGACTTGTCTCTGATTATCTTCACATATATTATAAAGCTCAACTGGCCTTCAATCTGAGGTGAGCCTCTTCCAAACAGTAAAACACAAATAATGAAATAAATGCTGATGGCATGTGTGCTGGTTTGAGCTGAAGTAGAGATAACTTTCTTCACAGAGGCTAGTATGGGGCTATGTTTGGGTTTTGTGCAGAACACAGAGTTGATAATGCAGAGATGTTTTTGTTATTGCTGAGCAGAGTTTACACAGAGTCAAGGCCTTTGCTGCGATCTGTACTGCCACACTGGCAAGGAAGTTGGGGGTGCATGGGAGATTGGGAGGAGACACAGCTGGGACAGGTGACCCAAACTGACCAAAGGGATATTCCATACCATATGACATCATGCTCAGTATATAAGGTGGGAGGAAGAAGGAGGAAGGGGGGACATCTGGAGTGATGGCGTCTGTCTTCCCAAGGAACTGTTATGCGTGATGGGCCCTGCGCTCCTGGAGATGGCTGAACACCTCCTGTCTTCAGGAAGAAGTGAATTAATTCATTGTTTTGCTATGCTTGTGTGTGCAGCTTTTGCTTTCTCTATTAAACTGTCTTTATCTCAACCCATGAGTTTTTGTAGCTTTTACCCTTCTAATTTGCTCCCCCATCCCGTTTGTGGGGGAGTGAGTGAGTGGGTGTGGTTCTTGGCTGCTGCTGGGGTTAAACCACGACAGCATGTAAAGCAACATGCAGCATCCCCTACAGACAATACTCCTTCTTACCTTTCTTGGTGTCAATTCACAAAAGATAATTCCAAGCTTATGAATATGGTATAAACCTGTAACCAGCTCAACACCAATTTCTCTCACTACATCTTCAGGTAGGTGTTTATCTTGAGCAATGACAGTTTCTAGAGAAACACCTGAAATAGTTTACACATAGTAAGTGTATACAAAGAAGATGCCATACAGGTAATTTCCAAGGACGTCACATAAGCTTCTTCAAAAGATGTCAACCGAAACCCATTATCAGTAGGTACTAAAAATATTTCTTGATATTATCTAAGAGTTACAAAATCTCAGATGTACAGAAAAAAATCTATTTTCAATACTGTGACAAAAATCTTAATTTTGACTGGAATTAAATTGAGTGCATGACTTCAGAATTACTTCAATATTGATTTGGTTTACAAAGGAAACAGATGGAAGAAAAGAAATCCAGAAACTGTGTCACTTTGCAGCGTAATAGTGCCCAATGCATTTATTCAAATTCCTTAAC